AAGCTTGGGTTTTCGTGCGACGAACAAGGAGTTAAACCAGATGATAAGATCGGGTTATATCGTCGAAGCTAGAGAGATTTTCGAGAAGTTGGAGGCGAGGAATACTGTGACATGGAATACGATGATTACTGGGTATGTGAAGAGGAGGGAAATGACTCAGGCACGGAAACTGTTCGATGAAATGCCTGAGAGAGATATTGTGACTTGGAACGCGATGATTTCGGGTTATGTTTCATGTGGCGGGGTTAGATTTCTTGAGGAAGCGAGAAAGTTGTTTGATGAAATGCCTTTAAGGGACTTCTTTTCTTGGAACACGATGATTAGTGGTTATGCGAAGAATCGGATGATAGATGAAGCTATGTTGCTATTCAAGAAAATGCCTGAGAGAAATGCTGTATCATGGAGTGCTATGATCACTGGTTTTTGCCACAACGGTGAATTAAATCGCGCGATTGAGTTGTTTCGAAGAATGCCTCAGAAGGATTCGTCTTCTCTATGTGCACTTGTGTCAGGTCTTATTAAAAACGAGAAACTGGAAGAAGCTGCGTGGGTTTTGGCTCAATATGGGAGTTTAGATTCAGGAAAAGAAGATTTGGTCTATGCTTATAACACTTTGATTGTAGGATATGGACAGAGAGGACAAGTAGAAGCAGCTCGACGTGTGTTTGATCAGATTCCTGATATCTGTGATGATGATGATTATCATGGAGGAGGATTTAGAGAGAGATTCCGTAGAAATTTCGTGTCATGGAATTCCATGATCAAAGCCTATTTGAAAGTGGGTGATGTGGTCTCTGCGCGGTTGCTATTTGATCAGATGAAAGACCGCGATACGATTTCTTGGAACACTATGATCGATGGATACGTACATGTATCTAGGATGGAAGAGGCTTTTGATCTTTTTTCGGAAATGCCAAACCGTGATACACACTCGTGGAACATGATGGTCTCGGGCTACGCTAGTGTTGGTAATGTAGAGCTTGCTCGTCAATACTTTGAAAGAATGCCTGAGAAAAATACAGTCTCGTGGAACTCGATCATAGCAGCTTACGAGAAAAACAAGGACTACAAAGAAGCTTTTGATGTGTTTATTCGGATGAACATTGAAGGAGAGAAGCCTGACCCCCATACTCTAACTTCTCTTCTCAGCATATCAACCGGGCTTGTGAATCTGCGGTTAGGAATGCAGATGCACCAAATTGTCCACAAGACTGTGATCCCTGACGTGCCAATCCACAATGCCCTTATCACTATGTATTCGAGATGCGGCGAAATAACAGAGTCAAGGAGAATCTTCGATGAAATGAAACTCAGAAGAGAAGTAATCACATGGAATGCAATGATAGGAGGGTATGCTTTTCATGGTAATGCCGCGGAGGCCTTGACTATGTTCCAGTCAATGAAAAGCAACGGGATACATCCTTCTCACATAACATATGTCTCGGTTCTGAATGCTTGTGCTCACGCGGGACTTGTTGATGAGGCTAAAGCACAGTTTATGTCTATGGTAAGTGAGTACAGGATCGAGCCTCAGATGGAACATTATTCTTCTCTGGTCGATGTAATTTGTCGACAAGGACAGTTTGAGGAGGCCATGGATGTTATAAGGAGCATGCCTTTTGAGCCAGACAAGACGATATGGGGTGCATTATTGGATGCTTGTAAGATTTATAACAATGTGCAGCTCGCGCATTTTGCAGCTGAAGCATTTTCGAGACTCGAACCAGAGAACTCAACACCTTATGTACTGTTGTACAACATGTATGCGGACATGGGACTATGGGACGAAGCTTCTCAAGTGAGAATGACAATGGAAAGTAAACGAATCAAGAAAGAAAGAGGATCAAGTTGGGTTGACTCATCAACTTAAAAGGCTGCTTATTTATGCTCACAAGAACATGAAAATGATTGGGATCAGAATTGAGAGATCTTGCGATAAAAGGTATGCTTAATGGTTCTTCTCTCTTACCTTCTTCATCAGTTTCACTAATGTTCTTGTGGTATTTAATTAAAAGCCGCTTTATGAGTCAGAAGGTGACTCTTCTCTTCCATGGGGTCGTTTTCGGATGCCCCACACAATTCTTGTTCACTTCTCTCAATTTTTCTTCCAGGGCAAAAAATAAAAATAAAAATCTATTTAGCCCAGATAGAATCAACATTTTGTTGACGTGGTCGA